CTCTCTCTCTCTCTCTCTCTCTCTCTCTCTCTCTCTCTCTCTCTCTCTCTCTCTCTCTCTCTCTCTCTCTTCCCCCCCCGTCTTTCACACGCTCACTGGGTTGCCCGGTTTGTCGCCTTGGCCTTTGCTTGATCCCTTTGACCCGCCTTTCTTGCTGACGGTCTTGTGAAATCCTGGCGATACTTTACTAGTGAATTCCTCCGCCTCCACCCCCCCGCCCCCCCGTCCCTCCCCTAAAACATCGTTTTCATTTCTCGCGGTGAAAAAACAGATACCCATAAATAAAAGAGATCAAGAAAAGAAAAGGAATAATGTGGATGTTGATATGTAATCCGATGTAGACCATGCACGCCTGGACACAAATCTCCTCTTCTCTTAGCAGCAGACATATCTCTGTGTAAGAATTGCATAATTTGTACAACTACCTAAACGAAGTGTTCTTCCCCCGATCTTACCCCCTCCTCTTTCTCCTATTTCCTCTTCTTCCTCCTTGTCGTCTTACTCTTCCACTTCCCCCACCTCTCCCTCCTTTCCCTCCTCTTCTTCTCCTCTTCCTCTTCTTCGTGCCCTTACCTTCTCTTCCTCTTCCTCTTCCTCTTCCTCTTCCTCCTCTTCTTCCTACTCCTTTCTCTTCCTTTTCTTCCTCCTCGTCCGTGGGGCTGCAACTGGGACGAAGCGCTCACGTACTTCCTCCTCTTCTCCTCTTCCTCTTCGCCCTCTCTTCTTCCTCGTCCTCCTCGTCGGTGGGACTGCAACTACGACAAAGTGCTTAAGTTGGACTGGAGAATCGTCGTAGCGACCTCCATTATCATTTTTCCTCTCCGTCTTGTTCTTGCTTCCCTCCTTTTCTCCAACCCACACCACTGGTGACATGGGGATACCAATTAACTTGCCTCCTCCCTTTTGCTTCATACTCCTTCCTGCTTCCTCCTCCCTCCTCCTCCTCTGCGATCTCTTCGTAGTTGCCTTCTCTGTGGCAACCTCCCAAACGACGAGCTTGAAGGCTCCCTGCCTATCATAGCATCACCTTTCCTTGCTGAGTACTTGTACTGGGACCGGAATTCATCGCATAAGATGAGGACGAATTTCCTTGACACGCCTCTGCGAGTATTGTGAAAACTCTCTCTCTCTCTCTCTCTCTCTCTCTCTCTCTCTCTCTCTCTCTCTCTCTCTCTCTCTCTCTCTCTCTCTCTCTCTCTCTCTCTCT